CCAGAAGGACCTTGACAGGCTGGAGAGGTGGGCCTGTGAGAACCTCATGAAGTTCAACAAGGCCAAGTGCAAGGTCCTGCATGTGGGTCGGGGCAATGCCAAGCACAAGTACAGGCTGGGGGGAGAATGGATTGAGAGCAGCCCTGAGGAAAAGGACTCAGGAGTGCTGATGGATGAGAAGCTCAACATGAGCCGGCAATGCGCGTTGGCAGCCCAGAAAGCCAACCGCATCCTGGGCTGTATCAAAAGGAGCGTGGCCAGCAGGTTGAGGGAAGTGATTCTGCCCCTCGACTCTGCTCTTGTGAGACCCCACCTGGAATACTCATTCGGCTCTGGAGTCTGCAACACAAGAAGGACATGGAGCTGCTGGAGCGGGTCCAGAGGAGGGCCACGAAGATGATCCAAGGGCTGGAACACCTCTGCTATGAAGACAGGCTGAGAGATTTGGGGCTGTTCTGCCTGGAGAAGAGAAGGCTCGTGGTGATCTTATCACAGCCTTCCAGTACTTAAAGGCGGCCTACAGGAAAGCTGGAGAGGGACTTTTTACAAGAGCATGTAGTGATAGGACAAGGGGAAATGGATTTAAAACGAAAGAGGGGAGATTTAGATTAGATATAAGGAAGAAATTTTTCCCTCTGAGGGTGGTGAGGCACTGGAACAGGTTGCCCAGAGAAGTTCTGGATGCTCCAGCCCTGAAAGTGTTCAAGGCCAGGTTGGATGAGGCTTTGGGCAACCTGGTGTAGTGGAGGGTTTCCCTGCCCATGGCAGGGGGGTTGGAACTAGATGATCTTTGAGGTCCCTTCCAACTCTAACCATTCTATGATTGTATGATTCTATGATTCAGTGTGGTAAATCCCTTCCTAGTTATGCAGTTAGAAAACAAAGAGAACTTTGGACAGTTTTCTACAGTCATCTGAAGAGAGAGCACTCATATACTGGCAGAAAAATTCTGTGCATTTCTTAATCTGCATCTACATGTGACATACAGATGACATTCCTGTTCTCATAGAGCATCTAGTGTAGACAAATTCTTCACTGTGTTTTCAGTAACTCAGAAATACCCTGCATCAACTTCCTGCTTAGCAAGTCTGAAAAACAACTCTGTGTATACAGGCATCCCATTCATTTGCAGAATGTTTTATCCGTTTAACTTTGTAACTTACTTTCATTTCATATTCTTAAGCCTTATATATTAAACAGAATTTTAAAAATAGTTCTTGAGTTACTATGAACCACAACCACCATGGAACAAGCGCTGCCACAGTCTGTATGCATTTTTCTAGTGTTGCATCTCTAAGTACAGCGTTATTTGGGTTTACTGTGCTGTTTTTGACAGTGACATCCACATTGCGGAATTTTGCTTTCAAGACTGCAGCCACTCAGGCCCTGACTAAGAGAGAGAAATTCTAAACGTGGAATTTCAGAAAAAGCCAACAACTAACACAAGCCGTAAAAAGTTGAAATATTTCCAAAAGAAAGACTTCAAATTGCTATTCTGTTATTCTTTGTTGCTAAGAGGGGATGATGCAGAAAAGCAAAGTAAGTTTAAAAATAAATATTATTTCCAAAGACTTGACAGTAACATAGATCAAATGAATTTTAGGAAATTACCACAGTCAGCTTATCTTGACTTACAACAGTAGCTTGTGGCTTTCTAGCCTGTCTCAATTCTCCTTTTACTGTACAGACTAAACTGGGAGCTAAAATGGGAATATTACAGTTTAGTAATTCTGTGCTTCTGCAAGATAAGTAACATTTCCTATCTTGCAGTACATTTTTGCTATATTGAATAACCAATTTGCACCTTCTCAAAAATTGATATTGATGGAGGAAAACAGCACTGGCAGAGAAAGTACGAGGGACAAAACGCAAAGGAAGCCATCTTAGTGATGCTCAGAACACGCGGCAAAAATGCAGACTTCACTTGTATACTTCTGGTACTACTATCCTTTCATTTTGGATAGAAGATCATGTCCCTGTAAGACAAATTGACTAAATGTTGCTTTCCAGCAACTTCCTACCGACTCAATACTGCTTTCTGCCAAATAATTTCTGTTGATACATCCTCCCATTTGGTGTTCTCATGCTGTGAACCTAAAATGACTAAAACCAATCCTCCACAAGATACACACCAAAGCATTGATTACCAACATTTCCTACTGCTTGCCTTTTTCTTTTTTTTTTTTCCCCCTCAAAATCTGAACCTTTAAAAGTGTCAAGACAAGGAGTCAGCAAAACAACAGTTAATATGTTGCAGTCTTTTTAAGAAAAACTTACTAGGACATCTTCAGTAGTTCATTGGTTTCAGGTTTCCATACTCCTCTCACCAGCTGCTCAAAGTTGGAAATTAGGCCACCACCAGCTCCTGAAATTGCCAAGATTTACTATAAGCCCCCACTGACTGCTACCACTGCTGCACAACCTATTATTGCTCCCGGAAAAACTCTTTACACCAGGTGCCAAATGTGGCATCCAAAGCTCAGACTTAAGGAGATTAATCCAATCTTTTAAACATGCATGACTTGCGCGCCCAACATGAAACCTCAGAGGTTTAGCTACTTGGCAAGAACCTTGAGTTCACCTTTTTGTGATAGCATCTGAACTGATTCACTCATTGCCACAAACAAATGCCTGAATTGTCAAAGTAAATCTCCAGAGAGGCTCACATCATTCCCTTCTTCACGTTGTCACGTAAGTACAGAGTGTTTCTATAAAGCATGAGGACCCTCTGTGAGAAAAGGTGGTATGTATTTTTATATTAAAAGAAGGCAAGACATAAGGAGGTGTTAGACACTGGCCAACGAGACCAATCGGTATCACAACATGGGAAAAGAAAAAAGACCATCACATTAACATAAGTTGTTACTCAAAGCAGAACAGAAACAAGCAAATAGAAACAAGAGCTGCACTACTACTTCCTGAAGTGGTTATAACATTGTGACTTACAAATACAGCTGCTAGGAAGGTAGCTTCCAGAGTCAAACTCCAAACAGCAGGCTGGCAGGAAGGTTCATTCCTGTGTTTAAAATCAGCTAATGGTTGCAACCCAGAAAGCTAAGAAAACAAGTTCTCTTCTTCAGCAACATGCAAGGAAAACAGCTCTGAGGAAACAGGCTGTTGGAAAGTCTAGTCATAGCACTGAAGCTACCCAAGAGATCTGTATTTTTATTGCCACCAACTGCCCATCCTACAAGTCCTTGCAAGACCTTCTGAAGGAATACGATGAACCTCCCTTAAAGTCATTCAATGCCACCCTTAATCAGGCAGAAAAACTGCCACACAGGCTTTTCCCTTGAGGCAACAACAGGCTGTATTAGGACTATCATACCCAGCACAACAAGGAATGGTGCTACAGTTATAGTGAAAGCCTAGCCATTTAAATACCACTCCAAAACATCACAATCCGTCAGAACAAGATGTAATGCATGTTACCTCTGGCCCAGCCCACAGCTACCATGACAAGCCAGGCGTCTTTGAAGTGACTGTCCGCATGTGCAACGCCAGCCGTTATCTTCCATGTCCTAGTCACTTCTTTCATTCCTGCAACCAGAAGCCGAAGAGGCAGAAAGGCAAAGCACTGGTAGAATATGTCTTGTGGGCAGTAAAACACAAGATACCTGAAAATTATGAGAAAACCCATTAGCAGCATTCAAAAGTTTTTGCTAAGGAATTAACATTCTAATAACTTTTAAAGGTATTTTTGGAATATCACTAGCAATGCATGATATACTACTGATAACTCACTGTCTTGTGTGGTAGATATACTGGAACAAATTTGAAATGCTTTCGAGCGTCCTTGAGCTCTTGCACCCAAATTATCAAACTTTATTTGAAATCGTTCTTACTGCCTCATTGTCCCAGAGAAGAATCCACTGAAGTACATAAGAAATAGCTTTAAATTTAAACAAGTGTTCGACAGTTTACATACCAGGTTTTTATAATTTAAATTATTAAATTAGTGTCTGACTGACTTTGTGTGGTTTGTTTTTTTTGTGGGTTATTTTTTGTTTAGTGGGAGGTTTTTTTGTTTTGGTTTGGTTTTTTTAACAGTGTCACAACAGGGTGGTAAATTACCTGCTGACACTATGCTTTCATACTGATAGGTATACAGTAACCACCAATTCTAGCTTTTCCAGCTTGCCAATTACAAGCACATTTCTTTTTCCAAAGTGTTGAAAGTACAGTACTCAAAATTTAATAATATATTTTATTAACTTGCTTTTAAAAGAAAGTAAAGTTAAATATGGCTAACAATGAAATCCTAAACTGACAGTAAATTCTCAAAGATTAGATTATATGGTGTTATATTGTATTTCTTTAATCATAAACAAAATTCAGTTTTTACAGAGACATTCAAGGTCTCAAAAAAAAAAAAATCAAGATTAAGTATCTAGATTATCTCAGCACATGAATAAGAGAGTAATAATTAAATAAAAGCAGAGAAAGCCTTTAAAAGATGAGAGGGGTACTCTTCCATATTCTGAAAAAAAAATTAAAAAAAATACTTGCCTGTTGGTTTAGGCTTCTGAGCTCAAATCTGTCTACCAAGAATTTCTAAGGCTGTATCATTCTCCTGTTTACTCAGGCTGCAAGGCAGAGATGTACCTCTCATATCTAGTTTACTTCACTAGCAATACTAGCAGACACCACAACTAAGAAGAGTCATGCTTCATGGTTAGAGTTAGAAAGCAGGACAGCCCTCATTGTTTGTGGGGGTTTTTTTGTTTCAGTCCATCCCCAACCATGCAGAAAAAACAGGCTTATGCTTTACAGCAGAATGCCAGGAAGCTTCCTCCACAGAAAGGCAAGGTTTATCTGAAGTCCTGTCCTCGTTATAGATCAGCTTTTGCTGCAGTGGATATAGTACCTTGCCAATGAAAACTTCTAAAGCTTCTTCTCTTCAAGACGTCCCAGAATGTAGCATGCAATAGCCCATTTCTCACGTACAACAAAGATACTAGAATGTACATTAATAGCTAAGTATTGGTCCAGTGTTCAGTTTTAGCTCTACTTATATTCCTTCTGTTTTCTTTTGTAAATTCCATTGCCTTTATATGCAACCAAGCTTCAGTTGATACGAATCCAAACATGTATACAGAGCATGTATTTTAATGGATACTGCAAATAGCCATGTAGTCAACAGACAACACCGACAAGAATTCATTCACAATTGCAGAATGTGGGCTTAGAACAGCGAGGAACAGGTAACTGGATTTTCGTCTGTAATTTCTGCTGGCAACACTTACTGACAGAAGATGTCGCTGTCCTACAGACTATTCAAGAGCATTTCTCAAGCACGGCAAAACCCCTTTCCCAGTTTTACGCATGGTTTGGGGAATTTCATTTCACGTGATTTAAGACCAAGAATTAAAGTCATTATACTCATGAAGAGAGAACTCTGTAAAACAAGAAGCTTAAAACGTTTCATAACATTCACAGTTCCCCACTAAAACCTCATTTTATTCGTGCACAGCAAATCACACTTGACCACCTAAGTTCAACACAAACCATATTCTGTTTACATGTACTCCTAACTGATGTCATTTGTTAAAACAAGCAGTTTTGTCACTGTTTTAGACTAATACAAACTATAAGCAGATTCTATAAGCTTTGTTAGTGCTGCACTATTTACTGCACATCATTCATTTCACTGATTTGCCTAAATGAAGTCTGTCTGCATCTTCCATTGCAACATGAAGACCAGAGGACTAATATATAGATACGCACAGATACATAGAAACACTAACTTTCATTTAAATCAATTCGTAGTTATAAAACCTAACAGGCTACGAGGAAGATAGTAAAGTATTTCAAGCAGATAAAACTATAAAACTCTTCTAAGACAAAAATTGTGATTTTTAAATTCAAAAACCCACTGCTCCTCACAAATTTGGTAAAGTTTGAGAGTGTCTTCAAAGATCACCTTCTGCAAGAGATGAACTCCCCTGGAAGGCCGCGTTTATAGGACAATAACTCCAGTGCTCTTTTTGAATTCCAAAACAGGTCAAATTGCTGCCTCGTTCTCATACTTGACTACCCCTCCAGCTCTCTACTGACTTCCACTATAACACCAACACATTTGGGAAAGGCAAAACACAGAAAAAAAAAAATGGTATCAAGAAGCAGAAACTAGAGGAGATTGAAGATGATCTATGTCCTAGATCTCCAATTACAGAAAAGTTTCAAATTTTTACATCAGTCATGTTCTGGCCATCAAGAGCTACTGCTGAAAAACTAGACTCCATTTATGACTTCCCTATATCCAGAAAAGCAGTAACTGAACTACATTTTCTTCCAAAATAATATTTTCAGCTGCTTCACCAGCAATAATCTACTCTTGTTGTATAATGAAATGCTCAGTCACTAAAGTTGCTCTATTCTGAGCATCTTACTCTTTCAGAACAAGATCATAAGAGCTATTTTGCTGCACTGACTTTCTGGATGAAGACACATCATCCTAATCCTAAAAGTTTTAAGTTAAGCTTCTGATTTACAGGGTAGCTTGATGGTATTATCTCAGTTTCCAGAAAAACTATAGCTTCCTCATAACCAATACTACTCCTCTCAGTTGTGGCTGCTTACCAGACCGAAGATGCCAGTAGAATATTTGTGCCCTTTGCCAGAAATGCTACGGGAGGTTCTGCAAGCATCAACGAAGACAGAACGGACCCACCGAAGCAATAAAGCATAGCACTAAACCAGCAGGCAATTGGACTTCGGACTGATACTTCCACAGCTCCTGAAACAAAGGGAAAGGACGCAGAAATAGAAATCAGTATCTGAGAATCACATTGTGTTTTAGAACTCAGTAACTTTCAAGTCATGCAGCCCCACATTTTCTTTTAGGTAATGAAAAACCCTGCAGAAATCTCTAGGCCACATAGTAAACGTCTTCAGGAACACAAAGTTCAGAGTGCCCTGACCTAAGCGTATGCTATCTAAATGAAAGACTGACATTGCATTCTCTGAACATTTGTGGTAAGTTGGTTTAGTATAACTGTTTGGCTACCAAGAAGAAAAAGCTTTCGGAGCACGGCTGAGAGATCTCATTGGTAATAATCTGGGAGAGATACACAGCTGCTCTCCAATTTGTATTAAAAATACAAAAGTGGCTTTGCTGACCTAGACAGGATTGGTATGGGTAATGTTTGGGGGGTTATTCTACAAATTCCATTTCTGCTTTTGAGTGTTCATGAATTCAAGGTCACCCTTTTTCCTTTTCCCCTGTAACACCCTGCTAACTGTGTTTGCTGACCAAAATGAAAGCAATATCCAAAACAATTATTAATTAGTTTCACCTGCAATCCCGAACAGAGGAAAAAAGGTTACCTGAAGCCAAAATGACACACTTAGGTTTCCCTTATTGGTAAAAAGTTCACAGTTTGGTTTGGTTTGTTATCTTTAAAATTAATTATCCCTTTTATCTTGCAATTGAACTATGCCAAAAGAGTATTTAATATCAAAAGATGATGCTAGAGGCAATGGGAAGCCTTAACCAGTTTCAGAGGGAAACAACACTGTAAGCCAGAAATAGCCTCAAGTACTTGTTTTTTGACTATTTCTTTCCACTTCAAAAGTCCAATGCTGCCAAAGCTTCCCCTTTCACACATGCTGAGCACTCTTTGCCTCAACTAGTTTAATTTTCCTCAGTCCAAGTGCTGAAGTTCACAAAAGCAAACATGAAACCTAGTGGTGTCTGCCCCAGAATGAAATCGGGCATGTTCACCATTCAGAGGAAACACTCCGGATGTTTCAGACACTTCTGTGCGAAAGAAGCTTCTTACTCAAGGCAAGAAGCTCACATGTATCAAAGAGAATACAGCACTCTCAATACATTTCACTTGATACAACAGCATTAACAAGATTATTCCGGTTTTAGCGCTGGCACAGCTATAACATATTCCAGATTCCCATGTAACAGCCAATACAAAAAAAAAAGGAGCACTATTACCACTTCTCCAAAGTAGCTATCGATTATTGTTCACGCGCATGTAACTAACAGAAGTATTTCTTCTCTGAAAGGGTTGTCAGCCACTGGAACAGGCTGCCCAGGGAGGTGGCTGAGTCCCCATCCCTGGATGTGTTTAAGAAAAGGGTGGATGAACTACTTAGGGATATGGTTTAATGGGAGATTAGGGACGGTTGGACTGGATGATCTCTAAGGTCTTTTCCAACCTAGAAAATCTATGAAAAATCTATGAAATCTATGAAACAGTAGAAAATTCTAAAACCTGCTACTATTACTTAAAATCAAAAGTGAAAGTATAAAGTAGGCCGTTACATCCAGATCCCATATGGCTGAATGTGGACCTATTTTCAGCAACCTATTTTCAGCAACCTATTTGAAACAGGTATCAGTGGTTCGTGCTTACTACACTGAGGTTTCTTCATTAAAATGAAAAGTATCTACAAACGCTGACAGCCATTGTAGTCAGAAAAAAAAATGCAAATTTATATTAAGTACACACTCCCTGCTCCAAAAGAGTTACAGCGGTTTCCTTACCACATAGAATTATTCTCATCTGATGGCACAGACTCATTACAAGTACCACTATATACCTACTTTAGAGAACCACAGAATCATAGAATGGTTTGGGTTGGAAGGGACCTCAAAGATCATCTAGTTTCAACCCCCCTGCCATGGGCAGGGACACTCTCCACTACACCAGGTTGCTCAAAGCCTCATGCAGCCTGGCCTTGAACACTTCCAGGGATGGGGCATCCCATGAAGGGACTAGCATAAGAGGACTGAACTCCCTTTCTTGCAACAAAGAATATCCTACCCCCATGGTTGCCAGCAGTCTCTCTGTTGAGTAACTCCACTAAATGCTGCTGCGGCATTACAGCACTAAGTGACCCTACAGAGAAGAAACACGCTGAACTTTACAGCACAACCAGAAAACCCAGCTCATGGAGGCAGCCAGTGTAAGTCACAAATCACAAGGGAACATGTGCTGGAACAGGGGAGTTCTGCTAAGAGACCAGCTGTTGCATTATGCACAAACTTTAACCCCTGGACATATGTAATACTGGATGTAATCTGCACAGTAGTCTGGTCTTGGATCGAGACCAGTAACCAGATTGTGACAGGAGGTTCCACGTGCAAGGACTGTCAGCCTCCAGAATAGGAGTAAGCAAAAAAAGACCTTGCACCTCAGACATTCATCATCAGGTGGGGGTGCACCAACCTCCCTGTCGTCAGCATGAAGCTTCTCACCTTGTGTTAGCAGAGAAGTAATCATCTGAACATCTTACTGGCAGCCTCCAACAGAATACCTAACTCCCTCCTCCCTTCCCACAAAATGCAGCAGGACTGAGAGCTAACTGAAACCCAGCTGCTCCTTCACTTCACCAGCTGGTCGGTCAGATTAAGAACATAACAAAAGGAAACCACCGCAGGCGCTGTGCCTTTGAATTTAATACACTGCATGGTATTTTTCACGCATGTGGACATCGACTGCGATTAACCAAACGCACCTAGTAATGACTAGTTTTAAGGGAAAAATGGAAGATTTTCATGTACCAACTTTGAAAAGGTTTGAATCGACTTCTGTTGTACCTTTGACATCATTGTTTCTAGTTCAACTTGCCTTCTCTCCTACATACTTTGTGAAAATATTTTTGTGATTTTTCACTTCCTGTAGTACAGGCCAGATAAAAAAAAAAACACCTTTAAATATAAAATTCGCTGAAACGTTGGAGTTGCTTTAAAATTAGTTAGCGCTCTCTTCTCTTTGCCAATCCATTCCCCTGCCTTTCAGCAATCACCACTTCACCACTCTTCCTTTCTCCCACAACTAACAGCAAGTAGCTTCCAGGTTTGAGGACACATCTAGGAATTACTACCAGATTGCTCGCTATCAGCAAGCTCAAAACAAAGCACCCAAATTTCTTCAGGAGGTTCCTAAGTGGAAAAGGACGAGAGATTAGTAACTCTGCTGGACTTCAGGATTCTTTCTGTTGGTCAACATTAGAATTTCCTTGGCTCAAACGCCAGTATTTAACAATTCATACCTGCTTTCTAACAAGGCATATACTCAACCTAGAAGACAATGAGGCAAAAATTGCTGATACTAATTTAAAGCACATCTTGGCATTGCTACCTAAATTAAGAATGCAATGTAACCCTTCAGAAAACAAACTCAATTTTAAGTGGGTCACATGTTTTCAAACAAATGGTCATTTATATTTGTCCTCTGATGCATCCTGTAAAACTAACGAGGCATCAGACAACCATGCAGAATAGCATCTGCCAAAAGGCCACAAGTCCTGCACATGGCAGATTCTAGAAAGTAAATATAAGGTTTTAAAAATGCAAAGTCTATACAGTTTTAAATGTTGTTTCTAGACAAGAGTAGTAAAAAAAACCTCAGCAAACAGCAAACTATTTCTGCCAGTTTGGTAACATCTGATTTAACCTATCCAACATGTCTTAAATGGGCAATCAGAAATACATACCACACACACCTCTAAAGAGCAAACCAGAAGGACTTGTAGAAGTTCTTCTAGGACCTCTAGCTAACTTTACACACACAGTGAATTCAGCTAAAAGGATTTAAAAAGTCAGATTTAATTTAGTAAAACTATGTCAAAACAACTTGGTCCTCTTCAAATCATCAGAATCATCTCATAGAAAACTTGCAAGAACAAAACCAGCACGTTCCTTCCAAATACAACACATCCTCAACCCTCAACAACTTTTGCTGTTCCTCCATCCCCAAAAAAGAAAATTGCCAGTTCTACAGCTGACTGGATTTACAAATAAGCAATTCTTAAGCAACCTCAAAGGCACTAACCAAAAACTCTCCGTGTAGCACATGTGGAAAGCAACAGGTTTGGTTGTCACTGCTTTAGTTCATCGGCACTCACAAGACAGCAAGAAAATCTCATTACAAGCACTGGAAAGTCCCAGCTACTGTGCGCCCATCCGTGATACAAATACCCACACTGAATCTGATTTTCAGCAGTGCAGGGAGGTGGTATTCCCATGAGACAGTAATCTGGGATAAAACCACAGTGTATCTGCCTTGATCACATGCTTCCTAGACCATCAGCTACTTGGGGTTACCCAGCTATTTCCCTGGAATACATAGTGTTTAAGCTTCCAAAAAGAATACATAGTAATGCCTGCAGAAGATTAATCAATGATAATATATCCATCCTGAGCAGTTCATAATAACCACTATTTCAGTTACGATTCAATATTCAGTTCAAGCTGCTTGTAAGCGAGCAGCAGACCAGTGTGCTGTCACCTTAATGACAGTTCTTAATTCAAAGTATTCTTTTGAATACTCAAGAGTTCTGAACTTTCCAGCTACTAAACCAAGAAGAAAAAAATTATCGGCGCAGTTCTCACCAGACTTCTGACAGCACCTCCATTGTCGGGAAGTGCTTTCTCACTAAAGCGATGCTGATGCTAGCAAAGGGGAGAGACTCCTTCCGTCCTCGTTGTTAAACCTGAGTCCATTCCACAGGACAGTTTAAAGGGAGTGCGTGATAGTGCCAATTACCTTTAGACAGCAAGTCTCGTCTTGAATGGACGAGTTCTATTGAACAAGGCCACAAGTCAGCACCCAGAAACAATTTTAGCAGCATCCAGTAACAAAATTTGGGGAAGATGCTAGCATATGTAAGCATTTTACACCAGTCTTCCCAGTGTGCTAAATGCATTTACTCCTCAGAAGTAAAAATGCACCTTGACACGTGCAGGAAGGGACTGAAGAACAGGTCTCACTAG